GAGCACTATATAAATGCAACCTATTACACATACTATTATCATGACTTATACTCAGGATCTACTCTCACTGCTAAATATTTCTATCAAATCTTAAAATTACAGCACTTAAAAAAAGATCATATTTTAATGATGACTTGCTGAGACTCTGAGCATATAAAACATAGAAGCAGTTTATGTTTCTACAATATTGAAGAAGAGGGTGGTTGCCCCTTCCTTCCAATCTAACAACTATCGTCCTTATCCCTCCGCCTTTTTTTACTGCGTATGTGCTATTCTCTAGCAACACCTCTAATCTTCAGCACTTGCATGACCTATTTGTGTTGCACGTGCTGTAAAACTCTCTTGCAAAAACTAAAAAACTAAACCATTTGAGGGCACCCATCAATTTAACCACCACTTCACTGTCATATTATACTCAACCTAGGACAGGCTGGAGGGAGAGGGAAGGAGGAGGGAGACATGACCACTGACAATAAAATGCTTATTTCTCACATAAAAATGATAGAAAAGAAAACAGTGCTTGACCAGACAACACAAAAATTAGTGTGCTATTGTCCATGGAAAGCAATATGGCTTTGGTTAGTTGTATTTCTCCAGCTTCAAATTTTTATCACTCAGGAGTTGGAAATGAAGAATTGCGTATAACCTCTCAGGACAGCCTGAAGAGAGGATCAAAACAGAGGAGAAAAAAAAACAGACAAAAAATTATAAACATATATATTTTCATTATCTCTAACTTTCTAATTCAATTGAAAATAGTCTGTCATTTATCATCAGTATCACAATTTCATCATCAGAATCATCATCTTCTACTAAATAACATCATCTGCATAATCACTTCCAGTATCATCAACCTCCAATTCTTGAGCCACAATGCTTTAAATATTTTGCCTTTCAGTGTCTAACACCTCATACCTAAAGAAAAATTTTTTAATTAATAAATCGGAACATGGTAAAAAAAAAAAAGTAGTAAGAACAACAATGCAAACGTGTCACTGAAAGCATCAATTACAAAAACTAATCAAAGAAGCCCAAGACGAAAGCAAAATTATGCAACAAAACTACATCACTAGTTCAATATAAGACTTATAAGGACATCGGTAAAAAAAAAAAACAACCAAAAAACCAGCAAATCCACTGTACACTGGCCCCAGTCATTAGCATTACTCCACAATTCATAACAAAATTTCGTGAAAGCAACAATACTAAGAAAACAGTACCCTTTTCATAGCCAGCAGCACAACATATGTGCCCTATTTCTAAAAATTTGAGTCATTTCAAAGACAGAAGACTTGTATTGTCAGGCTACAAAATTAGAAATGGTAACTGTTCCAGAAAAAACTTTTTAAAAATAGATACCCTTAGATTGAAAACTCAGTTGATCTATGTGTGAAGTATTATGGTAAAATCAGGCATTCGTCAAAATAAAGAAATCAAAGAACCAGCGCTTCCCCACCCATTCGACAATTCTACTAAAACTTTGGGGGGAGGGACTCTACAGCTTATATGTTCATTTAAAAAACACATTTCTATGCGGATTTTTAATGAAAATCGTTGATCAAATGCACAAAAAATGTAAATTTGCAGCTTCCAAGGAAACTATAGCTTTGGAAGTCACCAAACTTAGGTGGCTATTTTTTCAGCAATTTTATCTCTGATACTAGGGGAACCCCACCTCCTTCAGTCGCAAATATCTCGAAATCTATTCAAGACAGACGGGAATTTTTTCCATCAAACTCAAGGTAAATTTACAGGCTTTAAGGTTACCCCAGTAACTCCATATGCCCAAAAACTGACGAGCACCTGATTCCACCGTGTTATGACACATATTTATAAAGTTTGTCAACAGCGACCTCTCAAAAGAACTAATTTTTACAAAAAATGGCTTGTTTATTTAATAACAACTGAGGAGTAAAACAAAGTCTCATTCACTCAAGTGACCTCTCTTTAGTGTCCCAACAAAAATATGAGCAAGAAAACTGCACAGGTCAAGTGAAGCAGGAATTAAAAGCAGAATTTGCTACATAACAGTCGTTACAGGTATTTTCCACCATTTATACTTGCAAGATTTTCAACTTTATCATATATATATATATATCATATCATCGACATACATCACAACAAATACAGGGGCCCCTCAAGGATGATGTACGAACGATTGCAAAATAAACAACAGTATCATCAAGTTGATAAAATTTGCGGATGATTCAACCATAATTGGGCTAATTCAGGCTGACCATAACGAAACCGCTTACCAGAATTTTGTACTTAACTTTTCTGAACGGTGTGAAAATCATTAGCTAAATGTGAAAAAATCAAAGAACTTGTTGATTTTAGAAAAAAGAAACTGCCCCAGCAGCCACTCGAAATTAAATGTGAAAACATCGAGCAAGTGTCAGATTACAAATATTTGGGAGTTACAATAGACAACAAACTCAACTAGCGTGTCCACACTTCTCTCCTGCATAAAAAACTGAACAAAAGACTACTATTTCAAAGGAAACTCATGTATTTTAACTCACTCACTTCCATCCATTTTCAGGGTCGCTATTCCCTGCGCACCAGCCATTCTAAGGGCAATTTTAAAAGCTTTTGTTAATTAACATAGACTTGAAATTTGGAAAATTGTTTTTGAATATAATAAAGATTGCCCAGATGAAATTACAGCTTTGATTTATTGTAACTTTTTTTTTTCACAAGTTTTCAAAGATTGGTCAAAAACTGCTTTTCCTTTGCCCTTCTTACTTAAAGTTACTAACTCCCTTCCCTTCTCCACTACTGAAACCCTAGATCTAGGTCTTGAAGGCCCTACTAAACCTTACTCTGCTTTGCAAATTCCCCCCCCC